AGCAGGAAGCCTCCTACTCTGTTCCCAGATCTGTGAGTGTGGTGTACACGTACCTAAGCTAATCCTGCCTAAAGTCAGCACAGGTCTGAGAATGTACATATTCTCCCCAGCATGTAACAGTCTCCTTTTTCCTACTCATTACATATGACATTTAGCTTTCCATAAGCCACATGTTTCTCTCTGTCCCCGTTCTTTAATGCTAGGCATAATTAAATATGAATGAAAGTTTGATGAAGATCCAGTACAGCTTAACTCCTGTGTTTGAATATTTCACACATTACAGAATGATGTTCCAGTTGGACCAAGAAGAACATATTACATACAAATAAAGCATGCTAAACACAGCTTCTGTGCCAGCTAAAATTCAGTCACGGCCCTTATTCCCTTTGATGCTAGTACTGTATACACCTAGGATGCAGGCATCAACCTTATAACTTCTACCTTTGCTTTGTAGAAGCAATACTGACTATACTTCTCTACTGAAGAAATGCTACTCCTAAGCAAAATTTAAAGAACTTCCCCATTTTGTAGATCTCTAACTCTTCTAAGAAGAGCTGTGAGGCCAAACTTTAGTCCTATAAGTACTGCAGCATTTGAAGCAAGCACTCTTTGGACCGACCTGTACAAATTCCCTCACACTGCTCTTTGGTCACAGACAACTAAATTACTATCATCTAGCACAGTCACGTTCCAGATGTGACTCTCTTCTCCTCCCAGTTATGCTACTCCATGCAGCAAGTTAGCGTACTATGTAGACAGTAGCTAAAATGATGTATCAAGGCAATTTTTACATGCGAGCCATCATATAATTTGAAACCATGTCTTCCACAAGTCAGACATCTGAACAACTGAATTTAAAGTGACACCAAACTAGTGTAAATAAGCCTGAGACAGACAATGAGACAAGAAACAATTCATGGATTATGTATTTCTATAATCTAATAAACCTGAAAAGCTGAAGTATAGTCTATTATATTGGAAGAATGAATTTTCATGATTAAGGACAAAATTTCTTTTTCTTGTTTAAATAAGGAAGTGTCTATCTATACAGCTATGCTTGCTTATAAAAAATAACAAACAAAATTCTGTACATTTTTATGACAACAACAGAGGTTTATGGTGAACTAAAAAAAGTACATCACTTTGAATGGAACCACTAATCCAAAATGTTAAAAAGCCATGCAGTTGAAAGATCTCTCTTTGCTTATTTATATTCTTATTTTCACTTTTTAAACAGAGGTCACTTTCTTAATGGCTATTTAGCTGCACAATTACTTGCAGAACACATTCAGGCGACAGAACAGATTGCTTGAGGGACACTTCATTGGAGGAAGCAGCAGGATAATGTTTGTATAAATGATTAATAAAATCTGCATGAGCCAGTACTAAGAGTTTCACCACATTCTCTGAAAGCCAGCATACTCAAGTGCTGTCAGCTGCAATTTCAGCGTCAGCTTGTCTCTTTGGACACAGGCACTGAAGCAGATATGGCTCCTGGAATAACTAGTGCCCCAGACAGATAGTGCCTCTGAGGAGATAATGGAAACTGAGCTACAGATTCTGTGTTCCCTTGCTTATGGCTGTAGTTATAACTTTTAGAATTAAACCTGGATAAACAATTTTTCTTCAGCTTGAGGTTCATAATACACAGGAGGCTCAGACAGCACCAGGACTAAAAGCAAAAATTAGGAGAGGGTTGTGTGAAGAATGAATGCTGAGGAAAATAAAACAATTTATAATAATAAATATTATTATTATTTATAATATTATTTATAATAATAAAATGTTTTGTAAAAATAAAAAGTTACATGCAGTTATGCCTGCATAAGGAAAAGACAAGATGTTTCTCATTATAATAACAACAATAAACTGTGCAGAAGATGTACTATGTCTTGAGGCTTACAATTCCTAGGGTTTAGGCAGAGCAAAAGACTTGGGACATATGCTAAGAATGAAACCAAAAAGCAAGCCTCTGCTGTGGCTGGCACTAAGTAACTGGGCAACCAAAAGAATCTCTCCAGCAAACAGCACTCAGAGGGGGAAATCTTCCAGGACATAACAACACAGAGGGCATGCAAAGGTTTTTTCCCAGAATGGATGAGATTGCAGGAGCTTGTTTGTGCCCTCACTTGTGTCTGATGGCATGGGAAGAATTCAGATTACTTGGGCATAGATTCCCTGGAAAGTGGTGGTGAGCAGGATATTATTTCATTGATGTCATTTTCCCTTTCAACAAAGCTTAAGTTCCGCCATCCCTCGCTGCTAGTCCCTTAAAATAAGAAAAAAACTGTTTTAAATAAATATTATCTAGCTAGACTGTAAGAGCTACAGATAATATTAGTTTCACCTGATGCATAATTAAATATGATCATCTGTATCCTCACAATCCAGAGCATTCATGTTGACCAGCTGCCTATGACAGAAGCAAACGGTACTTAGTCAATAACTTACAGCAAGAGGAGCATTAATGTTGGTAGGCAGAGTTGCTGCAGCTTCTGGTTTTAACACCACATGGACAACCTATTTCTGACTTGAAATTGATTTGAAATTTGAGGTCAGGTTTATATATGGCTAGATTCACAGTTATGGATGATAAACACCTACCCTGTACTTTAGAGGACATAATTCAAATAGTCTACATTTTCCCCAGTCTTTCTGAGACCTACATATTCAAAGGTGGGCAAGTTCATAAAATGTCACCAAAACCACCAGGAATAAAAGGATTTTAGAGGTGCCCTAACAATGAGCAGCAGTAAGCAAGACTTTGGAAGACTTCCCCAGTGTAAGACACAAACCCCCTTTCTCCCTTGATTCATGGTACCTTAGAACCTTGCAGGATATTACCCATTTCTAAACACCTCTGTGGCTCGTAATAAAATTATTTTATTTTTTTACTGCTTGCTTCAAGCCAAGCATTTAGTACTTTTTAGCGCTATAAATAAGTGTCTCCACTTCTGCTTGCCTTAATGAATAGTTCAATATCAGCTAAGTTTGGAGCAGAAAGGTAATAAAGCTGAAGTTATTTAAAATAAATTTCTGAATCATTGAGGGGAAAAATACAGACTGCAGATTTGCTCTAGAGCCACAGTGAATTATATCATTCAAGCATCTGATCCAGAGCACCAGAATGTTACTAGGTTCACTGCATTCACTTTTAAAAAGTATTTATTAACATGATAACCAGTTGCAATTAGTAGTGTGACTGTGTAGTACATAGAATAGAAACATTTTTCATTCTTTACCAATGATCCTCTCCTGATTTACACCAGAGGAGGATGGGCCCATCTTATTTTGAAATTCAAAATGAACAACACACATTTGATGGAGATCAGCCACATTGAAGAGAGCACCAGTGCTACTAGGACAATTTAGACTTCCAATTTAAGGTCTTTAGGGATTAAATTCATTCTTCTCAGGAAAAGCTGTACAAGGCTGATACAAAATTTATTTTTAATAGGATTTTAGTGGTATATTGGGGTTTGTGCTGGCTCCTTGCATGAGTGAGTTTTACTTTATATATACCAAAACTCATTAAAGGTTCATTGAAAGGATACCTTCCATCCATTTTAAACAGTAAATGTGGAAAACTACTCCAGCTGAACATTGTATTTACTTGGCATTGCGATTAAGTATCACTAATCTGAACACATGCTGCCTTCTGAGATTGCTACAGCTACGCATACACCCAATGCACCAGAAAGGAGGAAATACAGAGGCGTGTTGCCGTGTAAAGATGCCGTACCCTTCCTTCCAGTATACATCTGGGATCTCACTAGCAGCTTTTGTGGGCTGCTAACATACAGTGGAAATTGGCATTAATAACCTTAAAACCTGTTACAGTTCACTGGCATTAGCTATCTTTCTTAGCAGTAATAAACCACAGTAGCAATGCCTAACAGCTCAAAATGGCTGGATAAAGCTCACATGTTGCTCGGTGTACACTGTAGCACACACATCCCTTCACTGCAGTCCAAGAGGAAAGGCGTCTGTTATAGCTGCTAGCTGGGAGGAGATACAAGGAACGTGTATAGCAGAGGAAAGATCTTGGTTCAGCTAGTGCTAAATACATGATACGCTTAGTTTTAATTGCGTAAGTGATCTCTGAATGTCAATGTTTAATCAAAGCACTCATACAACTGCCTCGCTGAGCTACAGCCCCAATCCTATAGCTGGAGCGGCAACAGTTCGTGCCTGAGGCACACAAGACGATGATGGCCCCAACACACACATACTGAATGTCTGTGCTGGGATTTCAGCCATGGTCAGAACTTTCCCCAGAAAATGGATGAGTAGCAAAGGAGGCAGGGATGACTCTTCTTTGGTCAATGAGAGGAGACCAAAACAGGACACCAAACAGGAGCGAAAAGACTGCCAATGCACAGCGTGTGTCAATTTATAAAGTTACTTGGGCAGTAACTGCTTGATTACGAATTACCAAACCTGCAGTTTCCAGCTCCCTCTTCTTTTTATCCATTGCATCTGAGGTTTCTTATAAAAAAAAGGAATGCTAAAATGTCAATAGTAAATTTAGAGTGTCAGGCTTAGTGATAGGCTGGCGAGACAAGCTGATGACAGAACTGCAAACTTCCTCAGCCATATTCCAGTTTGAATTTTAGTGAATGACCCCCACTTCATTTTCTAAAGATGATGGCCCCATGAACAGGGCGTGGTTTTTGGAGCTTTTCAACTCTGGAACCTTCTTAAAGACATGGCACTGGTGTCAGAGAGGCAGAGATGTAGTTACAGCTATGTGCAAGCACCAGCCAGTTTGTTTAGCCGTGTCACTGGGAGTGAGTGACTGCCAAAGGAAAACTGCAATCTGAGCTCATCTGGGAACTGGATATAAAAGGAAACAGTCCTTTCCCAGTTCCCACCTCCCACAGACTTCCAACCTCTCTACTATTCACATGCCCTTCCCTTCAGCTGATACACTATGCTGACAGCTACCACAGTAGATCTCAATACTAACAATCATCAGTATAGCATTTCAGGAGACACACACACCAAAAAAAACCCCACAAAACCCAAGGTGAAAAAAAAACAACAACAACAACAAAAAATAAAACCAAAAAAAACCAAAACAAAACAAAGAAAAAAAAAAAAAAAAAACCAAAAACCAAAAAAATCACCAAAAACCTAGAGAAAGGGAGGGGGCTGGGGAAGAATTTTTTTCTGCATAACTTTATTCAGCTTGCTTTGGCTCCAGGCTCTTTCTTAGACAGAGCGCCCCTCTTGCAGGAGCAGTGTCCTAAAGTCTCTTTTAAAAACACATACATTAATTTCTACTGTAAACAATCTACCTTAGCTTTTTTGCAAATACAATATCCACTTTTTCCTCCTTCAGTGAATATATATTGCATATACTTTTTCAAACAGAAGTAAATCTATTAAATGACAGATAATTTATATGTAAATTTTATACCTGTAGTAAAATCTCACATGCAAGCAAGCCTGCATTAATAGGAATTTTCTACATCTTGAGTAGCTTTCAAAAGTAAGGTGCGCAATGCAAACTAGAAGAAATCCAGTGGTTTTTTCTCCATGCAAACTCAGGTTGTTCTTGGAACTTCTAGGCTAATTTACCAACCTGATCCCAGCAGAAAGAGGAGTATGTTAAATGAGACACCTACCGCTGTAGACCCCGAAGATGTGGCTACAAAGACTTTGATCACCATGTTGACAGTGATGAAAATGAATCAGCAGAGCACGCCTGCTGTCCACAAGTCACCACAGTCCCAAGAGGAATCCCAGCGTTCGGCAGCTCCTGGGACAACCCGGGTCCTAAATGGATGCCCCCCCCCAGCAATCCAGCAGCTTTGGCCTCTCTCCGGTGTCCCGGGTTTTCCCACTCCATTGGTTCTTAGGTATTTCGGGACGAGGAGCCAGTAGAGGATTGGTTAGTAAGAGGAGCCGTAGCGAGGAGTTTGCACCTGCCCCTGGCCTTATTGCATTAGATTGACAGGGTGGCAGTCCAAAAAAGGCAAAGGAGAGTAGTGCACCAATGAGACAGGGCTGGAGAAATATTTGGGAGAGGGGGAAGGGACAAGTGAGAAGGGAGAAGGGACAGGGAGCAGGCAGCTTAGTGCTGGGGGTGATCACAAAGCTGTCAGGTAATGTGACAGCATGGGCGCTGTCACAGCTACCTGCTGCATAAAAGAGCTTGAGCCCTCTCCCTGACCACAACAAGGAGGCTTCGGAGTTGTAGCTGCAAATTTTACATTATAAAAGGGGAAGGAGGAAGGGGAGGGCAAGGGGAGCACAGATGCAGAAGTAATTATAGCAGAGATCATATTCAAATAAGCCTCAGTTACAAACGCTCTCAGCTTTAAAGAATTCAGATCATCATCCAGACTTCAGGGCTCAGGGACTTCTCTGACATACATATGTGTCAGTACGTTTCCTAATACTGAGGAGGGTGATTTGGCTGATTCTATGTATCCAGAACCTATTCTTATATTTTCTCCTTCTTTTCGCATCACCAGTGAAAATTGCCAGGGCACAAGGTGTAAGAGGAGGTCCAGAATACTTGGTAAAAAATATCCCATTCTACTGTGTTATCCAGGATGCTCTTTTTCCGTCTGGTTGCCGCCTTCTACCCCAGAGATGGTAACAATTCAGTGGCTGCCTGCACTTATTTGCTTAAGGAGGTCTCTGAGCATGAGAGATATTTAAAGAATGTTAAATGGTAACAGATTACTTTGAAATTCTAAGGGCCAAGTTTGTTTCTGCTGTGAGTAACATGCCACTGAGCTCAGTAAAGCTAGCCCAATGTCAGAGGTGAAACTGGCCTAGGTTTTAGAAAGTGCTTACATGCATTTCAAATGTTAAGATTGAATATAGCAGTGTCCAATCCTGAAAATACTTAGAATGGAATATAATACTTTCTTTCCAGGATTGATTAGGTATAACCGAATGCACAATAGTAAAGATGCTCTTGAAAATAAGTTTTTTGTCTGTGCAAGCCATTATGTGAAGCTGGAAATGCAGTATTCCATGTATGGAACAGGGATCCTGAAAAACCTCACTGAAAACTAAAAATAACAGTACGGATAGTTTGCAATGTTTACTGTGGCTCACCATCTGTCATTTCTTTCTTCTTTTGAGAGGCAACAGGAGGTCCAACAAAAAGAAAAGCCTGTTAGAATAGGGTATTTTCAGAGTATTTTCCTGTAAAACAAACAAACAAACAAAAAAAAACACCTTAGTGCAAAAACATAAATTCTTGCCAGAAGTTGTTACATATGCTTGTTTCTCAGGAGATTTTGTATGTAATATAGCCTAGTAAATTCAACAGCAATGACTAGCCATTTGGAACATACCACTTCCAAATTTATTTATTTGGTTTCAAGTCCTCTGAAGAAGTACAAACAAAGGATGCAGTGGTCATTGGCTTCAAAGCGTACTGATAAACCTTGCAAGTATAGTGATACTAATAATTAATACTCAAAGTGGTAAATATTTGCACCATCAAACGTCTACGGTCAGGACTGGGACAATATTGCCAATTAATGCTCTTTCCTGTTCTACTTTACACCTGAAATGCCCACTGAACTACACAGGGAAAAAACAGGATGCTTCCCAAAGCCTCTGCCCAGCTAGACCTTGGCAGGTGAGGACTTTAGGGCACGATTCCCATTGTGTCCAACTGTGAAGAAAAGTATTGCTCCAGCTGCTGTCATTCGTATGGGAGTTTTCCCCTTTTTCAGCATAAAAATCTTTTGTGTAAACCCGAACCGTGAGTTTGGAGCCTGTCGGGTTTGGCCACGCGCTCGCAGGATGCACACCGTGCCACACGACATCAGACGCCATGACACTAGATGAGGTGCCTCCACGGTCACCCTGAGGCTCTGTGGCCTACAGCTGATGGCGCAGAGGGACCCGCTGCCTGCACACCGCGTTGGCAAATTCCCATGAAGACCCCGGTGGGGTACAGAAACATAAAAGGTGGAAATATATAGGCAGCCACCTCTGCAGGGTGCGGGGCGAGGGAAGGGGGCGATGGGGGCGGGCGCCCCGGCTCCCCGTGCGGCCGGGGAGGCCGGTAATGGCGGCGGTGGAGACGCTCGGGAGGCCGGGGCAGGGCGGAGGTGGGGAGGGATGGAGGAGATTTCTTCAGAGGGCAGAGGGGAAGGCGGGATCCCCTGCCTGGGGGGGGGGCTGCTCTCCCGCTCTGGACGGGGAGAGCGGAGCAGGGCGGTGTCAGGCGGGGCCTGCCAGGGCTTCGAGGCCTCTGAGGCGGTTGGGGAGGGCGAGGTGGCGGTTGGACCCCGCCAGCACCCTGGGGAGCCCCGCACTCCCGAGGGTAGTGGGGGAGCTCTGGCTTGTGTGGAGCAGGCCAGGGAGCTGTTCGGGGCCCTTGGAGGAGCCCGGAGGCAGGTCTGAGGGCCCTGGGGACGCCCCCACCCTTCCGGCCTGAGCAGGTGGGCCCTGGCACCAGGCTTGGTGCCCCCGGGCTCAGGGCTCGGCTGTGAGGCCGAGGGACTGCTGCAGCATGCTGGTCTGGGAAGCCAGGCTGTGTTCTCCCACCAGGACTCCCCCTTCATTTACTTACTCTGGTTTTGCACACAGACTACAATTAATTCTTCCCCGTGACAGTTTTGCAGTTTCTGGATGCTTGAAATGGCGTTTTCACCTTTGACAGATAGATTTGGCCCTAACTATTTTTGTTCCGGCATCTTTTCCTTCAACATACGCTCTCCTAGTGTTTGTCCATTTCAGTCCCCCTTCAGCTACTGCTTTTTTTCCTTCATTTCTATAGTAATATCTTTCATTTCATTTCTTTCTTTCTTATACTTCGCCTTTGGTTTTTCTGTCCTTTCTTCTCCTTTTCCATTTTATTTACTTCTCAACATCTGCTCTTGAAGCTGCATGGTGAGGTTCAGCCCACACTTCTTGTCAAAACAAATTAAAGCAGTAGTGTTAAGTTTAATTTAAGCTAATTTGATTTAAAGACAATTGGGTGAAAAAGCATTGACAGTGTCAAGTCAAATTTAAACAGAAATACAAATCTATGTACCAAGCTGGCCTTTGCCTAATCCTCATCTTAAAATATGAGTTCTCATCTCTTAGGGGTTATTGCAGTGGCTCAAATTTAGTAGGACCCTTGGCATTCCTCAGTCTTCCACAAGGAAGAGTCATTCATGTAAGGAAATGAAGAGTAATGAAACTGTTTTGGTTCAACCTAGAACATTTTGTGCAATCCTAAATTACACTTTTTAATTTTCTTCGGGAGTTATGTAATTCTCCTCTCCCCTTTAAGAAATTTAATTTAATTTAAAATTAAATGCCACCACAAAGCAACTTATTATACTACTTATTAGACACCTTATTATTATTACTACTTATTATACAACTTATTCTACTGCTGGGTAGAATTCTGCATCTTTAAAACTATGGTCTGTGTAGTCTTCATGTGATATTAAGAAAATGAAATGGTTTGAACCATATCCCAAGAAATACTTTTTACTAGAACCACAGCGTTTAAATAATGCTGCCAGGAGTATGAAGTAATCTGTTCTGGTACTCTCCAGTAGCCTCTGCAGGGAAAAAAATTGAGGTGTAACAGATATTCACAAAGACATAGAAAATCAGTCAGCATTCTATATTTTATGCTAAGCATATGTTTTTTAAAAAGCCAAACAATTGGGAGAGTTCATTTTGTTCGAAAATTGGACTGTTGAGAAAAGGAAATTCCAGAAGCAGCAGCAATGTTACTTAGAACCTGATGAAACAAAATGAGATCATCATCTCATCAGAGAACCACATCTCTGACAACAACAGTGCATTACAAGTGATATTTTCTGAGCTGTATGAGTGCATAGACATGGAGATAAGTGTCATGCAGCATTTTCAAAAGCAAACAAATGTGTTAAGTACTGTTAGGCTGTGAAGAAATTGTTTTCATTAAAAAAACACTGAAATTTTCCCTAATGTTTCTTTGAAATTGTGCAGAGACGCTTATTACACTGTGAGGTTTTATTTAGCAAGCTTTTTTGTTTTTACAAACAATTTTGATTTGAAAAGAAATAAGATAAACAACATCCCAAAAGTTTAAGAAAAGTTTTATTTCAGTCTCTAAGTCACATACTCTGTTGTGCAGCTTTAGGTGCTGCTATAACCTCTACCTATAATGCTAATATGGCAGCTAAGATTTTTTTTTCTATTTTAATGCATAAGTTAATTTTGTGATCCGATTTGTGATTAATTATTGAAAAATATGACTAAATGATATTTTTATGATATGAATGGAAACCTAAAAATACTACAAAAACACAGTTAGAAATATCTAGTTTCTATAGACTTGAACAATTTTTTTTTAATATTGTAAAGCACTTTGTAGGTATTGAGCATAAATACAGTTACACTTCTTTTAAATTATATTAATCATGGAGAAAATGTATACATTACAGGAAACAAACTATGGTATCTATTTACATTTAAATGGTAATACCTTGTAAATATTTAGAAAATACATGCCAGTATCATAGTAAATGCTGAGGTAAAAACTAGTATATTTCATATTGCAGTTCATTCTGGAAACAAACTTACCCACTTACTATAGACCACACAATTATTTTAATGGTTTAAAGAGTAATGACTGTTTTTTTTTAAAAGATCACTTAGTATTTCTCAGCATCGTTTAATAAAGTTGAACACTGTTTAGTATTGTTTATGT